CATCTTGAGTGTCACAGGGCTGGAAATGGTTTTCTGTTTCCCTCTTCAGAACAGTCATTCGCATCACCGACCAGAACTCTACTGAATGAAGTCAGGCTGCAGTCCAGAAGAGTCCATGCAGGCAGGCTCTTCTGGCTTCTGCTTGTTGCCTTTGATGGCAACCTTGGATACAGCCTAACTAAGACCAGGGGGAGCAGAGACAAATGGAAACATGCTGACATGATGACACACAAATGCATAAAAACATACACACACGTGCCAACAAGCGAATACAGGGATCGAGGCTTGGGCGACCAAAGGCCAAGAACAGAAGGCCGCAGGGCAAATCGACGATGACAAAGCAGTGACCTCAGACAGGCGGCTGAAGTGGCAGAGATGATGTCTTTTACTCTAGACAAATGTGTACAGCTTGGATCACTACAAAACAGTCTACATTTACAAATAAATATAGTGCCTCTCTTCCGGTTGGACCCTTTCTATAACGTTTGTATCCTTGGATGATCTCAACAAGACCACCCAAGTTAAACACCAGACTCAGAATCTTCTAGGAAGACGCCATAAACTGGGCATAGAAACTCAAACACAAATTCAGTCAAAAATAGGAACATCCAGAAGGAAAGGGAAGCAAGCCAAGGCTACAGACAAGACATGCTGGGTCTGGCTCCACGTTTTCACAACTCACAGGTAAATCTAGGTGAACTGTTTTAAGTTTATAAAATGAAGGCCTGGATACCAGGCTCCGACTTCTTCACCTAGGGGAAACACTGAGAGGGCTTTGAAGAAGCTGCTGAAACAGAAGAATCACTCAAAAGCCGTTCCTCTGCATATGAAGGCATTTCAGAAAAGCTTCAGTTGGTCACATGATTCGACAGGAAGAAGGAGGCGGCATGGTGGTGTCTGACTGTGTTCCCAGCGCTTAGGAACCAGAGACAGGAAAACTGCCCGTTGAAGGCCAGCCTGAGCTACACAGGTGTGAGTGGTGAGAGAGAGAGAGAGAGAGACAGACAGACAGACAGACAGACAGACAGACAGACAGACAGAGAGACAAGACAGAGAGACAGACAGAGAAACAGACAGAGAAAGAGAACATGATGGAATGCCATCTCCATGACAGAAGAGACCTTACTTACATGTCATGTTTCCAACTGCTGCCCAAGGGCAGATGGACATTTAACAAACACCCACTGAACATGGAAGGACTGAGAGACCCACATGAGGGATTACACGAAGAACAGGAACTAGACTTGGGAAACCCATACTACCAGTGCGTGTTCCTAGTTCACAGACATAGAAAGAAAAGCCCTTTGACTTACCAGACACAGCGGAGCTTGCTCTAGAGGCCTTGTGACTCCCTCTAGCTTGATCGCTTTTGTTCCCTCTCAGGCTTGGTTTATCTCCCAGGGTCCTTCCAGATTCTAATCTTCCATGGCTCCTCCCCCAGCTTCAGCATTTCCACTTCCCCTGCCTTGACCCTTGACTCAGAAGGTCAGGGGTCCCCTGCCCCTTTGCCTTTGGTGTTCTCAGAGCACTGGGAACCCATGATTGGGAACCCTCACCAGACTCTTGACTGGGCATGGGGGGGTGGGGCTTGCGTTGTTCATTTCTGCCCATCCCTGGTACTCTACACAAGGCCGATTGGCACCAGCAGTCAATTACACTCCTCTGGGCTCGAGCAGATCTCACCTCCTCTGGCCCACATCTACCTCGCTCCAAGGAGCCAGCCAGGCCTACCCTTTATTGGGGTAGAAATTCAACGAAGAGTTGGGTGAGTCACTGGGACCCAGGGAAAGAAACCTGAGCGTAGAGAACTGACAGGAAGACCAATCCAATCCAGTGTTTCCAACTTAGATAATGAAAAATAAAAAAAGGAAATTCAGGGGTGGTGGTGGGTCCTCCAAACCCTTGGGGTGTTGTTGAGGCAGAAATGGTTGCTGTGAGTCAGAGGCCAGGCTGGGTCTCATACCTCAGGCTCATCTGAGTGAGCTACACTAGAAGACCCTGTCACAAAAGCAGGAAAGGGAGGGTGGCTGGAGTAAATGAAAAGGCGGGCGGCAAACTGTAAAGAGAATAGTTCACCATAACTCCCCGCTCCCCCCCACACACACACACACCGGGAAAACTTGCATCTCTAGAAGCGTGGGCCCACAGAATGTCCACAGCAGACAAAATGCCCTTTAAGTGACAGTTTCAACCTTTGGGTTCAGAGATCCAAGCTTTGTTCTTCTCTTCTAGAGGAAGACACTGGCTTTGAAAGCATTTTCTTTTATTTCTAGGCTAACACAAGCACACCCCGACCTCCCCGCTCAGGCTCGGACATGTTTGCTTTAGCACTGGACTAAAGTGAGGAGTCTGCCCTGTCATTACATCACTTCTTTAAAACGGTACCACAAAAAGAAAATAAATTATAACCTAAATCCATGGGTGCATTAAAATAGTTCCCTTTCATTTTCAGAAGGGGAGAAAAAAGCCCTGACTTTTATGTGAACTTCAGGGTTAAAGTCTCCACAGTAGTGGAGGGTTGTGGGTGGTGGGTGGTGGCAGAGAATGTCCAGGTCTTAGCACAATTCCCTTGGCCCTGTGCCAGCAAGCAGGTACTGTAAGAATAAAGGCTGCACTGAAGTCACACGGACTTACTAAAACAAAGAGCCAAGAAATTTCAATCCCCCACTCACTTAAAAAAAAAAAAATGACCCTTTGAGAACCCTAAAGGAAAGAAAGTACGTCAGCCTTCGACTTATTCAAATTAATTAACTAGTTGATTTTTTTTTAAATCATGACAAACCTAAGTCCCCACCCCATGCCTTGCCCAAGATTTAAAGAGATTAGTAAATAAACAAATTAATTAAAAGTTACTGAGAGGACCATGCATTCAAATTGTATCCAGAAGACAACAAAATGCTAACCTAATCTCTTTTAATGATCTGTCTCCTTAGCCGCCTACCATTCTAGACTCAAGGGTAACTCAAAGTCTTTACCCAAATCAGCTTGACATGCAGCTGAAAACTCATCCATTCTCCTGAGTAGCACAAAGGCGGAGGGCAGAGAGGGTCCTGCATTCTCCTAAAGGAATTCCATGAAGAGTCCCCTGAGATATCACTAGCTAACTCATTCAGAGATGAAAAAACAAAATCCACGCATATTACTCTACAGGACTGAGCAAGGCACTTCTACAGGAGTTTTGGAAATTAAACTCCATAAAGGACTCTTAGGGCTCTACTCCCAGTCCTTTAAAAGAGACATTAGCCCTATTTCTGCACTAATGATAATCCTCTCTCGTCTGTACTACACATAGTCCACACTGTGGTTAAGATGCTATGTGTAATACAAACAGGGTCAAGAATGCCAGTGTGGAGAAGAGTCGTGTTTAAATGAGCTTTAACCAGCAAGCTGTTCCCCAAACAGAAAAAGGAAAGCATGGATGCTCAGCCTTCTGTCTGCAAAGGGGCTTGAGCACACATGCTCAAAAGGCCCCACGGGGCCCTGTGCAACCCGGGAGCCTCATCCATTTGGAATAAATTAAGTTTCCAAAAGGAAGCTATCATTTGGAGGGGATAAGAGGGAAGAAATGACATGCAGAATGTTCTAGAAGCTTTAGATAATAACATTAAATAAATTGGCAGTGGTGCCACACAACTTACTATCCACAAGTACACAATCATCTCTCAAACACTTCCCCTCCACTCTGCCGCTAAGCAGTATGACTCGGGGTCTTCATGCATCTTAAGATTAAATAATGCCATGGCACAGCTCCTTAAGGTAACATCCAGGCCACCTTCATCACCAAGGACCCAGACCACACCACCTCTGAGAGGTCCTCACTCTCCCCATTGAGTTTTCAAGGCACGGGCCATTCTTCAAGCTGTCTGTCTCCCCACCACAGTTAGACTTTCAGGTTCTGCTCCCCAGCCCGTCAAGGTTCTTAAGACTTCTCCATTACCGCACAGTGAAGCAACATGGCACACACACCCTCTTCACTATCTCCAGCACAGTTGTCTGTATCCCCACCTTCTGAACTGCAGCTCTTTCTAGAACTTCCTTTCCATCTTCTTCGTATCTGTTGCAACAAGAATCCCATGGTTGCTTGTTTAATTAAATTCTTCTCCTTCTCTCTCAACAGTCTAACACACCCAGAACAGATACTTAAATGCTAACGTGATCGAGACTTGGAATTATCCTGCTTTGCAAAGGGTAAGAAGCCAGACAGAAGTTAAGATGCTGACTGAGTTGGCAAAGGCAGAGGCAGCTTGTGTGTCAGTGTTCAGGACAGCACACCCACCTTCAAAGGAAATCACGTTCCCCGAGTGTGTAGACATGATGGTACCAAGGAAAGGAGAGCGGAAGGGAAGAGGGAAGGAAGGGAGGGGGAAGGAGGGAAGAGGTGGGGTAGGAGAAGGAGAGAGGACGAGGGGGAGAGGAAGGGGAGATGCTGAGGGTAGGTGGCCACACTTTAATCACAGACATTAAAAAACTGACTTTAAACTAAACTCCTAAAGACATTATGAGTCGAACTCAGCATAGTGCAATCTGTTCAGAGTACAAATTTTCATACCAAGCATCTGAAATGATCCTTTTTTTTCCTAAAAATCACAAATTTCAGATTGTTATTGTACACTCAACGTTGACTCAGCAGCTAGGATTTACTCTTCCCTTGACTATCCCACTAGGTCAAACAGAACAGATTCTGTAAAAACTGTCATCTGTGATACAATCTGAAAAACAAAATCAAATTGCATTCTGAAAAATACTAGCTTTGAATGAAAACAGGAGTTTCTAAAGTGCTGCCACTTAAATTCTCCCTTCTGTGACTTCTTACCCATCACTCACAGGGATGCTGAGCTCTGGAGGATGCAAAGAGCAAGATGGGCAGGTGACCGCCTAGATCTGATGTCACCTTCAGGCAGACTCGCCGGGTTGTAATAATAAGGAGAAAGTGTGGCTGGTTCCCTCACGGGCGAAGAAAGGAAGAACTAGAGAAAGTCAGCTCCCCGCTTATTCCTTACCTCAAGCACTCCTTCTGATGGGTTTCTTTCTTTATTCTTTTTTTTTTTTTCGTTTTCTTTCTGTTGTCCTCGCATTTCCCCACTTGACTAAATCTTTCCCATTTCCCTTCCTCAACTATTCTATCCTAGAGAAGTCACTCACCACCAGCTCCCGGTTATTGGAAAGACAGAACAGCCAAGATCATGGCACCGGTTCATTTTCCTGAGAGGACACCAAGACCAGGAGCTCAGAACAGGCTCGGGTTGCGCCGCTAGGGGACGCTGTGTACAAGGGGGCTCCGATGCCGAGGCCCAGTTCTGCAGCTGCACTTCTCAGCCTTTCTGCCTCAAGAGGCTTCCCTCTCTTTCTGCAATTTTTTCCCTGAAATTAACACTCAAGACCAAAGAAAGGGGAAATAAAAGTAAAAAAAATAAAAAATAAAAATACGGCTTTCATGTACTTAGAGCCCTGGTGATTATTATTCATAATATTGCATCTGGAGAACCAAGGGCAGAAACTCGGTGCTGTTACAGCTGTGTGTCCATGTAGTTCACTGTGGTGCACATGGCCTTAAGCCTAATTGACTCCTCTTCCTTGGTATTCACTCTCTCTGACAAAAGAATATGTTCTTCCGTTTTCCAAGACTTTGAAACTCAGACCTGTGTGACTTCACAGTCACGTTAAGTAAGCAAAGGACACTTACACAAAAGGACAACCGCACAGCCCTGCCAGGAAGCCTAGAGGATTCTGCTTTAATTAACCTCCTTCTAGTTGAGGTCCGCAGTAGGTATCTATGACGATGGGTAGAGATAGTTTAAGAGTGAAACTTTCACACGCCAGCACTCGCTGGAAACCCACATGGAAGAAATCTGTAGGTTTCAACTAAAGAGAAAAAGAAGAAAAAAGTCGAGCGAAAGGGAGAAAGAAAGAAAAAGGGAGGAGAAGAAGAGAAGAGGACGGAGAAAAGACAGTCCAGGGCCCCAGCCTGGAAGCAGCAACAAACCCTGGATGCCTCACATCAAAGGCCAAATGGCAGCAAAGGGGGGAAAAAAGCCTAAAGTTTAAAGCCATCCACGGTAAACTCTCCCTACAGGAGCCAACACAACGGATCAACCTATTCAGGCAAAGCCAGGTCCCTCCCCTGCCTTGCATTTCCCAGGTACTAGCTAAGCCTCGGGCGGCTTCACGGAAAGTTTAAATTCCTTCGACTCATGGGACGACAAAGTCATCAAGGAGCAGGGAGCTGAGCGCGGGGCGCTGGGACACTCGGGCCATCTAAGTCCTCGGGGATGCCGCACCAGGAACTTGGAGCGCCCCCCACGCCAGCCCTCTCGCGCCCCCAACCCGACCCAGGTAACCAACCGGAGGCCACCTACGTGTCCCTCGGACGGGCCCTGGGGCGCACTGACCTGGCCAAAGGGCAGGAGGGCCGCCGGACGGCTGCAGCGACTTCCCTCCCGGGCTGGGTTCCACCGGCTGGTGCGGGAGGCCAGGGCAGCCTCGCCTCCTGCAGGCGGCCTCACACACACGCGCGCACACCCACCCACTCCGGGCCCGCGGGCGCGCGCACTCCCAGGCGCTCACGCGCACGGCTACAAAGCCGCGGGTGGTGGGACAGTGCGAGCTGATCGCGCCGATGGGAGGCGGGGCCGTCGCCACCCGCGCCGGGGGACACCCGGCCGCCAGCGCCTTTACCTGCTGGGTCCAGCTCCGCAGTCCCCGCAGCCCCGGGGCCAGCCCAGCCCAAGCCTCACCCGGGCACGGCCCGGGAGGTTACGAGGGTAGCGTTGCGCTCGGGAACAAGACTCCTGGGGCGTCACTGCCGCCCGGTCCCGACTTCCCCAGCTCCGCGAGCAAGCGGGCGGCCGGGAAAGAAGCGCGGGTGCCAGCTTTCTTTCCTCTCCCTCCGCCTTCTGGCGCTTTCTGCCCCGTCCACGTTGCACAAATCAGCAACTCCCCGCACCCCCCAGGCGCCTTTCCTCAGCAGCTACCCTTACCTGCGTGGCACCCCCAGCGCCCCTGACGCCTGTGGTTCCCCTCCCCCAGTCATTCACAGAACTTCCCGAGCTGCTGTGGGTAGGGGGGTGGCGGGTGAGGGGAGCCTAAGCCTCCCATTCAGTACCTTCCTGGCGCTCTCCTGCAATCCTCCACATCGGACACACCCACCCGGGTCACCTCTGCCCCCTCCCGCGCTCACCCCAGCGCCTGGCCGCTTGCAGAGCTTTGGTTGACTCCCAGCACGGTGCATTTTTGTCTTGTTGCTTTCCCCTCCTCATTTGAAAAGCCCTGGAAAACATCGCAGAGTCAAAAAAGAAAGAAAAAAGGGGAAAAAAAAAAAAAAAAGACTTGGCGTATGGCCTCCTCCTAGCTGACTTTCTAAACTTTTCAGACAGTGCAAAGTTTCAACCAACGCGGCCCTGGACTACATACAGGCCGTAAAAAAAGGGTTGGCTTTGCCGCTTAAAAAAAAAAAAATGGTATGTGAGTCTCTCCGTCTTTACAACTGCAAATCAAAGCGACTGTGGCTTCATGCCCCTGGCTCTGATTATAAATTTCTCTTCCGCTCTCCCAGGGTAACTTTGTAAGGGCAAACTGTGGTTTCCACGGAGTGATTAAGGGCGGGGAAAGCACACCTGTGGGTGTGGGCGGGAGCAGGGCCTGAGAATCATTTTCTGGAGAGCACCAGCCCAGCAGCCTTACCATCACTCAGTAGATAGAGCAGCAGAGAGGACTTCCCAGCCTTGCCATCACACCTACCTCCAAGCCCTCCAGGCCCTCAGGGTTTCCAGAATCTTCAGAAGTCTCTGCTTCTAGCCATAGCTGAGTCCTCCACGCATCAAAAGCAGACGCCTGGGAGTAAAGGCCTGACCATCTCTAGTCAGAGGGACATCTAGGGTTGTCAGACCACAGTAAAGTGGGACTAGCTGACGGGACTGTAGCTGATAGGGAATGAAAGACGATGAGGAAATGGATCGCCACCCCCTTGCTTTGTAGAAAGAGGTCACTGCCAACAGTGATGGGCAGAGCCGATAAGACAGGGGGGGGTGGTGGTGGAAAGTTTTCAAGCCTTCAGCAGGTTGTGACTTGAAGGGACCACGACCATTTCCTGTCTGTGGTTTTTCACAGTGCTCAAAGCTGAACTCTAAAGCTGGTCATTTATTATGCAAAGCTGTTTACTTTTAAAAATTATTGTTCAAGCTACACAGGCATGGTGCCGCCCACTTGTAATCTCAGCCCAGGAGAGCTTGGAACGGGATGGAGTGTTTCAGGCCAGCCTGTACTACATGGCCAGCCAGGGCTATACAGCAAGACCCTCTCTCTAATAAACCAGAGGAGAAAACTGTTCAAATCTCTTTTTAAAAGACTTTGCTTTCCAAACTCCTTTTCTACCAATTGGAGACTTATTTTATAATTATCTACTTAAAATAGAAAAAGTACTCCCAATTATTACTAATATAGTCATACTCAGCACTAACTTTGTTCTTGACAACAAGCAGAAACTCATCCAATAGGGTAGCAGGCGGTAGTCGGAGGTACAGTGCTGGCCTAGCAAGTACAAGGCCCTGAGCTTGAGCCCCAGCACCACAAAAATACATAATAAATAATCCTGTAAATATAAACCCCTTCCTATCACAAATACTGATGGCTGATCTTAAACTATGAGCAAGTTGGGATGAACATGAAACCATCAAGTCTTATGCATATATATTAAAGAAAATAATACATTGAGAGGGAATTTCCCTTAACTATAGCACTACTAAATTCAGAATAATTCTATTTATTGCCTAATTTTCTCTCTTTTCCTACTCCACCTGTTTTGTTTCTTCAACACCAATACTTCTCTAGTTAATGAAAAGAATATTTTAAAGGGATTACCATGGTTACCCATTCCTCACTGGTTAAAGGCACAAGATAAACAGGCTTCTCTGAGCCGGCGCTCATGTTGATGAATTTCAGTATGCTGGTGTCATCTCTTGCCTTTTTGAGAAATGTATTGACTATGTATCAACTATGTATTGACTACTTTTAGTACTCTGTGGTCCTTCCCCAAATGGGGATGTCTGTCCTCATTAAACACATATACGTTAGGGGTGAAAAGATGTACCTCAGGAGTAGATTGCTAGCCTAGCAAGCACTGGTGTTGATCTCTACCAACACACACACACACACACACACACACACACACACACACACACACACACGCACATATACACATATGCATATATACACAAACCTATATGCACATACGTATACACACATATACACATGCACGCACATACACACACAAACACACACACACACACACACACACACACACACACACACTGAGTTACTTGCTTTATCTCTTCCTTATTCCATCTACCACAGCCAAAAATGAAATAAGCAAGAGGTCTGCCTGGACAGACCTGTCTTGCTGACAAGCAAAGGCCTGTCTGGATGAGACTGCTCTGCAGCCAGCTTTAGGTCAACAGCCAGAAGTAGGTTAGGTGTCCGGCACAAAAGAGAGACAGTGAGATACAACACAACAGTAGAGCCAAACTTAGATTAAACCAGTTCAAAGAGGGCCAAGTCTGTAACCCAAGATGGCAACTGTGCACTGTATTTCACAGAATTCCATGTTGTCTTGTTTGGGGTTTGCATGTTGTTTAGATGTACAGTCTCACAATGAGGCCCAGGCTGGCCTGGGAGGCACTGTGTAACCAAGGCTGACTGGTCTCAAACTTTCAGCAACCCTTCAGCCTCCCTCGTGGTGCTGACGTCACAGGCGTGAGCCATGCTCTTAAGTTGTCTTTATCCAGGACAATGTATTTGAATGAGTTCCTTATAATCCTAACATCTATGCCGTTGTCTGGATGTTGTCTGGATGTGATTAGAAGAGGGTGCCTAGACACACTTTATTTATGTCTGTCTGGAGCCCTCCTGTCATTCAGACTTAGTTCCCCCACTTCCTTTGGGTGGTCACTCTAATGTTCTCCCCTCTGCTTTGCCAGGCACCATGTCTCTGAATGTGCTTCTTCAGCTGACCTCAGCAGAGGCAGCTGGGGGGGGAGCCAAGCTGCTCCTGCTGTCAAGCATGAGGCAAAACACCTAAAGCAACCCGGGAGGATTGCTGGGACTTGCAGATTCAATGAAAGACCGGATTTGAGGGCAGCGAC